GCCCAGAGCCTCCAGGCTTGCACCCTCCCCCTGTTTAGGGCCCATTCACATCCCTGTGGGTCTGGCCCAGCTGAACAGATTTCTGTCAGGTTTCTGCCTCCCTTTCCTGAGCGATTCTGCTTGTGTGACCCTTTGTGCCTTTAGGGGATGGCACTGACGGGGTTGGGGGGTTATTTCTCCCCGTACCTGCCTTGCGGTAGCTGCGTGCATGGTTGCCGCCAGCCATTCTTTAGTGTGGAGAGCTGCAGTGGGCTGCTGGCTTCACAGGCATTAACACAGACCTATTTCTCTGTCCTGTCCTTCAAGCAAAACAAAATGGAAGACAGGTTGGACGAAGCCATCCACGTGCTGAGGAATCACGCCGTGGGCCAGACAGCCGCCATGCCGAGCAACCACGGGGACATGCACGGGCTCCTGGGCTCAGCGCCGGCCCACAGTGCCACCGTGGGCAGCCTGGGCCAGGCCTTCCCCACCTCGGTCATGTCCCTGGGGAACAGGCACCCGAGTTTGGTAAGTGTGAAAGCGTCGCGGCAGCTGGCGGGGACGTGCTGGAGACCCACATTGTGGGGTCCCCTGGCATCCAGAGGGACGTTGCCTTTGGTGTGAGAATAGCTCAGTGTGGTCCTGCTTGGGTCAGCTGTTGACAGCTTTGAACGGGTGATGTGCGCAGAAGTGCAGTGGCTTGCCGTCTTCGTGCCGGGGGGGGTTGAATCCACGCTTAGCACAGTGGTGGCTCTTGGACACAAGCCCTGCTCAGTTCGCTCATGCCCCTTCTTGGGGCAGGCAGAGGTGGTGAAAGCTCTTCTTCTTTCCCTGCAACATGGATGGAAATCCCTTAAAACAGCTTCAAGCTGTCCCTGGGGGATGCAGGGAGGAGGAGTAGAGGGATCCGGTGCAGGGCAGGACCACGGGTACAGAGAGCCAGGTATCGCTAGGACTTCTCTGCTCCGAACCATTCGGGCAGGCACCGCGTCCTTCCATGCACGTGGGGAGTGCTGATGTGTGATGGCTCATTCAGGCTCCAAGGAGCGTGACAGGTCCCGGGTGCCCTGAGCACGTGGATGCTGGGGTCCCATGCCGGGTCACCAGGGTCCCCCCTTGTCCAGAGGCTGGTGACCACAGGACCACGTTTTTGGCAGAGCTGGTTATCTGCTGCAGCAAACAGTAACACATCTCCAGTCTCTCTAGAGAAGCAGACGTGCTTCCCTTCCGAGCTCCCCAGACTCCACTACTAAGCGATGAATCATATGTGTGTCCTCTGTTGCAAACTGCTGCCAGTTGCAGAAATGAGGGTGTTTGCAGCGGGGCTGGCTCAGTCCTGCCAGTCTCTGGCCAGCGTAGTGCAGCCTCGGGGGGTGCGGGCTCAGAAAGGCTGCCTGACCCTCGCCCTTTGCGTCCAGGCCCTTCGGAGAGAAGTTCACACTGCTGGGCTGTCCCCTGCTTTGGTGGCACCGGGAAGGTGGCAGAAACGTTGGTGCTTGGTGGAGACAGGACACGTGCAGCCCAGGCAGGGTGTCCTCTCCAGTGTGCCAGCCTTGCATCCAGGCAGAGAGAGGCTTTTCCACGGTCGGGGGAGACAGCACTTACGGGGGCTTTCTGCTTGGTCCAGCTGATGTGCAGGGCATGGAGCTGCTTTCTGCAGTGTGCCCGCCACGGTCCCCGGAGGAGAGCTGGTGCTGGAGCAGGTTGGCTCTTCCCTCCTGCATGCCTGCGCTCTGGGTGGGGGGAGTGTGCGAGGAGGGCACGCGACTGCACCTCAGCCTGGTCTGCAGAGCCCCGCCGCTGTGCTCGGGGTGACTGTGCCCATGTCCACTGGCCGTGACACTTCCCCCCCTCAAGGCTTGCTCTGCTTGTTCTGCTGTAGGTGGGAGGAGGTCACCCCGAAGATGGGTTGTCCAGCAACCCCAGCATGCTCCACAACCATGTCACACTTCCGTCACAGCCCAGCTCACTCCCTGACCTCAACAGGCAGCAAGACACGTACAGTGGTAAGGCAGCTCTGCACGCGTGCACGCTTGAGGCTCGCCTGCCGCGGGGGTGATTCGGGTCACCCGTTAGGTCCAGCCCTGTGCAGCAGCAGCCTGGGGGGGGATGGGTGCTCTTGCAAGGCCGGTGCTTCCTTGCAGCATCCGCAGGGCAGTTTCTACCTTGAGCCTTTTCCAGAGGTTTGACCTGCATGTTCCTGTCCCTCCTGCCAGCTGTGGGTGCACAATGTCCCCGGGCCCTGCTCCGCTGGGGGAGGTTGGGCTCTGACTCTGGAGGGCCTGGGAGATTGGGGGAGAAGAACAGGGAGTGGTGGCAGGGGAGAGCCGGCACCCCTCCAGCTCCTCTTGCTGTGGACCAGCAGTGCAGGACGAGTCGGGGATGCCGGGAGCAGGAGCAGGGCCTGGGGACCCCCCAGCCCTCCGTACGGGTCAGGCCCCTCCAACCTCCATGTGTGGCTCTGCTTCCTCAGCAGGCTTGTCAGGGGGGCTGGGGCGAAGCAGCGTCTCCTCGGGAACCAGCGAAATAAAGAGGGAAGAGAAGGAGGACGAGGAGAACACGTCGGTGGCAGATAACTCAGAAGAGGAGAAGAAGGAGCTGAAACCCTCCCGGAACAGAACAAGGTGCTCTTTGAACAGGTCTCTCCCTTCACTTACTCTGTTACCAGGCTGGGGGCGTTTGGGCTGGGGTACGGCCACGGTGACCCACCGGGCGCTGGGCTCAGCCCGGTGAGGCCGGGGGTCATCCTGCGGGGCAGACGCACCAGACTCTGCACACCATGGGAACC